CTAATTATGAACAATATTTATTAATCATTTATCAATGATAATGCAACATTATTACATTATGGATCTGTTATAATGTATCGTGAGTTAACATAAACAAACAATGATCAAGTGTAATAAGCTTAACATGAACTGATACTGTAATAAATGTGGTGCTCATTGTTTGTTAGTAAATGGACTAATAATAACTATAACCTTATTGTGAAGTGTTACCGACTAACTACATATTATTTACACCCTAACTATTGTGAACATCATTAACGTTAATAATATTTAACAAATACTGTAAAACACTGTAAGTGTTTTCTGAATAATTTGAATTCTGCATGATATTATGGTAAAACTTACCTAGGGATTTCATATACTCATCAAAGTTGTCACTGCTGACCAGCTTCCACGTGCCACAAAAAGCATCCACCATTTTCTGAATCAAAACTGTGATAAACAAACTTACTGTATAATGCCTTGTAAAAATGTAGCTGCATTTTCGCTTTGCGAATAGTCTTAAATAGTTTGTCTAAGGAGTGGGAGGGACCAGCGTTCCAATTGGCTGTCAGTCCAAGAAACATTTGAAGAAATTTTTAATTGTGTGTGTGTGTGTGTGTGTGTGTGTGCGTGTGTGTGTGTGTGTGTGTGTGTGTGTGAGAGAGAGATTTTGTGTGAGTGAATTTGTGAGTGAGTATGTGAATGTCTGTCTATCCTTGTGTGTGTGTGTGTGTCTCTGTGTGTTTCTGTGCCTCTCTGTATGTTTGTGTCTCTTTGTCTGTGTATGTGTGTTTCTCTGCAAGTTTGTGCGTGTGTGTGTGTCATCAGAGTGTGGTGGAGTTGATTTCTCTTATGGGAATCTTCATCATAACAGAGCGCCGGTGACCTCTGACCTGCTATTGTTTGCATTGCCACAGGAGGAGATTTATGTAACCAGAGTGGCAGAACAGGGGGGTGCGTGTGTGTGTGTGCGTCTGTCTGTCTGCGTGCGTGTGTGTTTTTTTGTCAGTGTGTTTCTGTTAGTTTGTGTGTGTGTGTCTCTGTTTTTTTGTGTGTGTTTGTGTGTGTGTGTGAGTGTGATGAACAGTAAACAGTGTAACAGCAATGAGGCTTTAATATGTCGTGTGTAAAATCACGGGTTTATAATCTGTGTGTTTTCCAGGACAGCTCACCTCTCGCCTCTCTGACCAATTGGGAAGCAGTTACCATAATGTCAGTAAGTATGACACACTCCAGACATTACACACGTTCAATTTAATTCCACTGAGAATAGGATGATCTCATGAAATTATCACAGTTTATTATTTATTTACTTCTTCAATCCCAGTTTTTTAAAAATAGTTTTATGTTATTTGAATTGTATTTGACGTTGTTTACGTTATAGTACATAAAGGATGTACACTCACTGGCCACTTTATTAGGTACACCTGTCCAACTGCTTGTTAATGCAAATTTCAAATCAGCCAATCACATGGCAGCAACTCAATGCATTTAGGCTTGTAGACACGGTCAAGACGATCTACTGCAGTTCAAACTGAGCATCAGAATGAGGAAGAAAGGTGATTTAAGTGACTTTGATCGTGGCATGGTTGTTGGTGCCAGACAGGCTGATTTGAGTATTTCAGAAACTGCTGATCTACTGGAATTTTCACGCACAACCATCTCTAGGGTTTACAGACAATGGTTTGAAAAGGAGAAAATATTCACTGAGCGGCAGTTCTGTGGGCGCAAATGCCTTGTTGATGCAAGAGGTCAGAGGAGAATGGCCAGACTGGTTCCAGCTAGGCAACAGTAACTCGAATAAGCACTCGTTACAACCGAGGTCTGCAGTAGAGCATCTCTGAACACACAACACGTCCAACCTTGAGGAGGATGGGCTACAGCAGCAGAAGACCACACCGGGTGCCGCTCCTGTCAGCTAAGAACAGGAAACTGAGGCTACAATTCACACAGACTCACCAAAACTGGACAATAGAAGATTGGAGAAACGTTGCCTGCTCTGATGAGTCTCCATTTCTGCTGACACATTCAGATGATCGGGTCAGAATTTGGCCTCAACAACATGAAAGCATGGATCCATCCTGCCTTGTATCAATGGGTTCAGGCTGGTGGTGGTGGTGTAATGGTGTGGGGGAGATTTTCTTGGGACACTTTGGACTCATTAGTAATAACTGAGCATCGTGTCAACACCACAGCCTACTTGAGTATTGTTGCTGACCATGTCCATCCCTTTATGATCACAGTGTCTCCATCTTCTGATGGCTACTTCCAGCAGGATAAGACACCATGTCATAAAGCGTGAATCATCTCAGACTGGTTTCTTGAACATGACAATGAGTTCACAGTGCTCAAATGGCCTCCACAGTCACCAGAGCTCAATCCATTAGAGCAGTGGTACTCAAACTTTTTTCATCAAGTACCACCTCAGAAAAAATTGTCTCTCTAAGTACCACCAAAATGAGCAGTATTAAAATTCAGTAGTGTAGTAGGCCCAGTAAAGCAGCTACAACTCTGCACAGTTAAAAAACGTGGCAGATTACCTCAGAAATATAGGCTATATGTCATATATGGCATATTATATACATCATTTTTGATAAATTTTGAAATGTATTTAGCATGTACATGACATATTTCATTCCTCCACGTACCACTAGAAGACAGCCCGCGTACCACTACTGGTACACGTACCACAGTTTAAGAACCACTGCCTTAGAGCACCTTTGGGATGTGGTGAAATGGAAGATTGGCATCATGGATGTCCAGCTTACAAATCTGCAACAACTGCGTGATGCTATCATGTCAATATGGAGCAAAATCTCTGAGGAATATTTCCAGTATCTTGTTGAATCTACGTCATGAAGGATTAAGGCAGTTCTGAAGACAAAAGGGGGTCCAACGCGGTACTAGTAAGGTGTACCTAATAAAGAGGCCGGTGAGTGTATATACTATATGTCTGCGTGTATAAATGTTTTTATTTTAATAATTTTTTCTAATTTTTTACTTTTAGTTTTACTGAAATCAATTTTTAATGTTTTTTTTTCTCCATACAGTATATTCATTGATTCATTCATTCATTCATTCATTTTCTTTTCGGCGTAGCCCCTTTATTAATCTGGGTTGAACAGCGGAATGAACCGCCAACTTATCCAGCATATGTTTTACGCAGCGGATGCCCTTCCAGCTGCAACCCATTTCTGGGAAACTTTCTGTTTATATATGTATTTGTGTCTGTTTGTGTATTTGTGTATGTGTGTCTTTCTGTGTGTGTGTGTTTGTTTTTGTATGCCTGTCTGTTTGTGTGTTTTGTGTGTGTATGTATGCCTATCTTTCTGTTTATATGTGTGTTGTGTGTCTGTGTATCTGTGTCTATATGTGTGTGTGTGTGTATGTATGTATCTGTGTGTGCGTGTGTGTGTGCGCGTGCGTGTGTATAGGATGTGGGCGGGACCTCAGGCACGGACACACCCCTGTCTGCATCTGCGCTGGACGTGGAGATCTCCAGCATGAGCACAGTGGAGGAGCTGCTGAGACACATGAACCCCTTCAGCTGGCAGGAGGACCTGGAGCAGCTCTACACACACACACACTACTACAGACCCCGCGCCTTCCACAGCGACCGCAAACACAAGCGTGAGTCTCACACACACATGCACAGCTATCTTTATGGGGACTCTCCATAGCTGTAATGATGTTTCTACTGTGCAAACTGTATATTCTCTCCCTCTACCCCTAAACCAGGGGTGTACAAACTCGGTCCTAGAGGGCCGGTGTCCTGGAGAGTTTAACCCCTAACTTGCTTCAACACACCTGCCAGGAAGCTTCTAGTATATCTTATAAGAGCTTGATTAGCTGGTTCAGGTGCGTTTGATTAGGGTTAGAGCTAAACTCTCCAGGAAACCGGCCCTCCAGGATGGTAAAGTCTAGATTGGATACGCGGCCGGCCGGAAGTGCGATATGCATATCAATATAGCAGCATTTTTATGACACAGTATAACAATAATTCATATTTTTACAGTTCTGTGACAGCTGGATTTAGGGTTGGGGTGACGGTAGGCGTTAAAAAATACAATTTATTGGGTCATTTAATAAATAACATAAATAATACTCGTTACAACTACTGTTTTTACAGTGCTGTGACGGTTGCATTTAGGGTTGGGGTGAAGGTAGGCGTTAATAATATACAATAAATGGGAAATTTGATAAATAATATAAATAATTCTCGTGAACTTCAGGCCGCAACCATTTCCGATCTAGCAACAACCCTCCAGGAACGAGTTTGGACACCCCTGCCCTAACTAAAGGTGCGTCACAAATCGCATACTTATGCACTATTCTGCGCCATTTAGTAGTACACAATTTGAATTTTCGCTTAGTAAAATAACATTAGTGCTCCATTTGGGACGACACTACATACTTAAGCTGCGTCCCAAATCACATGCTTATGCACTATTTTACGCCATTTTGTAGTATAAATAGTGTAAGTAGTGTGTTCACACTGACAACTCTAAAAATAATAAGTGCACTTTAATCACCCGGATGATGAACTCATTCAGCCGCTAAAATAAAGTGTGTACTGTTGTACACTTCACGCACTCAACGACCGCAGCTTTGCTCACGTAGCGGAAGGGGCGGAGCTATCAGGCGCACATGTCGGATAACTATTTATTTTGGATGGTAAAAGCAAAATTCTCCTACGAGAGTGATTATAGCGCCTCCCGATGGTGAATGCGGTTATACTCACGGCAGGTAATATTTGATAGTTTGGTCAGATTCACAGATTTGGCAACCGGCAAACATCATCAGGGAAACGGTTTGAATTTCCGCTTAGTAAAAAACCATTAGTGCTGCATTTGGGATGACTCTACATACATGTACTCTACTGTTGAGTGTGTAAGTGCATAAGTACATAGTGTATGACAGGAAACAATCAGCACTTTTACATTTTCAAAATACATGTGCCAGTGTTGGGTTCCTTTAAAAGAGTAATTAATAGTTATTAGTAGTTATTTCTCATAAATAGTAACACACACACACACACACACACACACACACACACACACACACACAGGAAGAGACAGGCACACACAGACACACAAACACACAGGGATGGGAACAAACACACACACACACACACACACACACACACACACACACACACACACAGGAAGAGACAGGCACACACAAACAGAAAGGGATGGCAACAAACAGACAAACACACACACACACACACACACACACACGCACACACACACACACGCACACACAGACACACAAACAGACAAAGATGGTAACAAACAGACACACACACACACACACACACACACACACAGGAAGAGACAGGCACACACAGACACACACACACACACACACAGGAAGAGACAGGCACACACAGACACACACACACACACACACACACACACACACACACACACACACACACACACACACACACACACAGGAAGAGACAGGCACACACAGACACACACAAACACACACACAGGAAGAGACAGGCGCACACACAGACACACACACACACACACACACACACACACACACACACACAGGAAGAGACAGGCACACACAGACACACACAAACACACACACAGGAAGAGACAGGCACACACAGACACACAGAGAAAGATGGTAAAAAACACACACACACACACACACATACAAACACACACACATACAAACACAGAAACAGACAGAAATGGGCACAAAGAAAGAGACAAAAACAGACACACACACACACACACACACACAGAGGAAGAGACAGGCTCACACAAAAACAGACAGAGATAGGAACAAACAGACACACACACACACACACACACACACACACACAGATACAGACAGGAACAGGCACAAAGACAGACAAACAGACAGACTGACACACAAACACAGACAGAAATGGGAACACACACACGCACACACACACAGAAACAGGCACTGTTAAGCATGCAGTGTGTTTTATGAGGCAGACAGAGGTGATTTCCTCCCGTCTCTTCATTTATACCTCCCTTTCCTCGCTGCCCATCCAGAACAGATTGTGATTATGTGAGTCATAAGTGAGAAAATAACATCCAAAATAACACACTGGAATGTACACACACACACACACACACACACACACACACACACACACACACACACACACACACACACACACACACACGCGCGCGCGCTGACCTCGCCTCCTGACAAAGTTGCAACACTGTAGCTTTTATATAACTTTGCCAAGAGGAAAGTGTGTTTGTCCGTGTGTGTTTTTACTCCACAGGATGCAGTTTCCTATAGTTTAGCGCAGTGTTGGACGCTCACAGGAGTGTTTCAAGTGTGTTTGCGAATCATGACTTTGATTTTAATTTTGAGAGACGTGTGTGAAAGCTGTTGACGCTTCAGTCAGACGCGGTTCAAGTGTGAGAAAGCATGTTCTCCTAATTCAGCGTTTGCTCTCAGATGAGATGCTGAAAGGCAGCGTCGTTGGTGATTTCTTTACCAAACAACATCTCTTGACTAACTTTCCTGACCTGTCAGCTGGAGCTGCACATTATATTGAAAAGTTATCATGATGCAGTATTGTTTTAGCAAACTAAAAGATGATCCATTACTGGTCAAAAAACAGTGCAGTGTGTGAGTTTGACACCCTGTGGCTGGACTAGGTATTGCACTTCTGGTTCAAAACACATGCAAGCGCAGGTTGCCAGATTGACGAAACCAACAAAGGCTGATTTAAATCATGTTCTTTATTAAAACAGCGGCACACAATAGAAGGAATATTTCCCATATTAAATGGAGTTTTTGTCCTAAACAACACCTGGGGCCTCATGTATCAACGCTGCGTACGCACAAAAACTTTGCGGACGCCAGGTTTCACGCTCAGAATCGCTCATGTTTGGATTAACTAACGATGAACTGAACGTGAGAATGTGCGCAGCTCATTTTTTGTGCGTGTCTGTTTTATTTCCATTGGCGACTCCTAGAGGCAGTTGTGTTAAATTCCTCTCTACAAAGTGTCTGAGCCTTGCGATGGCAGCTGTATGAGACGGGTTCATCTAGCAGGTATATAAGGTTTCCATACCATACAGTTGACCAGCTAAACATTAAAGCGCAATTTGCAGCGGTCGCCTGTTTTCCCAATGTAATCTGAGCTATCTACTGCTCGTATAACGGAGTTGAAAAGATAAGATGATATAATTCATTTCGAGTGAATGACATGAAATTAGGCATTATACATAAGATGGTGTTTGAGTGCCCCCTTGTGGTAAATAAATTGCAGGAGAATATTGTCCCTTTGTGCTTACCGTAGGTTCACAGAGATCGGTGTGACTGTGAAAGGTAAGCGCAGCTCGTCTCTCTCTCTCGCAAACTAATTAAAAAGGGATGATATAAACAATTTTATATAATTTCATCGAGCGAAACAGTTGTGTATGTTGTTTAAATAATACACTAGTTCATGTTTTGTTTTCCTAATGTTTATTTTTTTTACGATTTAGATGATTTGTGTGTTGCTAGCTGAAGCATTACATTGCTAATGCACAGGCCCGGATTGGCTAATCGGGAGGACCGGGAGAATTCCCGGTGGGCCGGTCTGTTTTTTGGCCGCGAGGGCCGGTGTTCCTAGCTCCAGAATCTGTTGCTCTCAGCAGTCACACTTTTTAAAAATTATTTATTTATTTACTTGACCACAGCCTTCTTATTAATTATTTTACCGCAGCTCTGCTCTTTTTATCTATTTTCTCGTAGCCTCGTAAGCAAGATGCAGCCTGCAGGTTAATGATGATATAACTAGATAAGTCACTATTCAATGTATAGTTGTTGTGGTACAGTGGTAAGCACGTTAGGTTATGACGCCACCAACCCGGGTTCGTACCTCATCTGAATAACAATTTTTTTTTTCATTTTTATTGTTAAGACATATAATACTGTTAGGGTTGTTGAACATTTTAAGTTATAAAACAGCTGTTTTCTCAAAAAAAGACGTGATACTGTAATTAGAAACTGAATTGGAAATGACCTTATTTTATTATAGTCAGTGGTGAACTGAGGTGGGCCGGTCTGAGGCTTGAAACTCCAGGGCTGAAAAAGAGTCCCACTCCGGCCCTGCTAATGCATTTTAAAGTTGTTAGTTATACAAGATCCCAACAAGAGAGTTTTTGTATTTTTCCCTTTTAGAGAGAGAGCTGAATGTTAATGCTGCACTTTCCTGCATTACATATCTTTGTTTTATCTCCGGTATGTTGTTTATCAATTTTTATATGTTATGTTTTTGAGTTTAAGAAAATGTACATACACAGAGATCGGTGTGACTGTGAAAGAGAGAGAGCTGAATGTTAATGCTGCACTTTCCTGCATTACATATCTTTGTTTTATCTCAGGTTTATCTCAGACGGAGAGAATAAATCTGATTGAGTGCAATGGTGGATGGCTTCCTTTATTGAGTCCAAGACCTGAGTTATTATGGACGGGTGTGTTGCTGATGGGACACCCGTTACACTCGCACATTGCTATAAAGACACTATCTGAAGATGAATTTGCATGCGTGAATCAGCGTGAATCAGAAACATTTCCATTCAATAAATGTGCAAATAAAATATGATGCACAAACTTATTAATGATTCCTACTTGTCTTCCTCGTGATGAAGAGTAGGCAAAATCTGATATGTAGCGGGGGAAATAAAGAAGAATGAGTTCATCAGACGCTGGATTCGAACCGAGTTCATGCTAGAACGTGTTAAAACATGTTGACATGCGTCTTACGAGCTGCGCCACTGAGACTATTGAGGATACTACAACATTTTACACCTATAAATCACACTATTTCTTCTGTAATTCACTCAGTGCGATGTTCAGACCCAACTGTGTTAACCGCATCAGCTAAACTCTCCCACTCTATTTTTTCTTTTGTTGTTAATTCTGGAGGACAAACTTGAAAATAACACCGCTTTTCTCCGGTCTACCTCCGAAAGCAGCACCTCCAATTCACATTCTGTTCAAAGTTTCTCCTCTTGCTTGCTTTTGCCGTTGCTTTTTCATTTGGTTTTGCCAAAGTAGAGTCATTAGCATATTCATACGGGGGAGGAGGCAGGGAGGGGTTTTGTGCTCGTGCATGTTGCGCTCAGTTTCACGTTCATTCGGATGTACAAAAGAATATGCGTGAGATTCGGCGTACGCAGTGTTTCATACATCTGAATTTTTTTCTGCGTACGCACATTTACAGCTTCGTGCGTACGCAATGTTTTAGTATGATTTCCACGCAAGTCTTCGTACATGAAGCCCCTGAAGTTTATATTTTAGAAACAGCTTCTATTTTTCACCGGTGAACAACAAAAAACTGACAGAGATCAGCTCAGGTACAGCTCATGTGCTTTATTCAGTGTTAAAGGTGCAGTAGTTGATTCAGGATATCCACGGAGTCTTAAAAAATGTTAAAAGTTAATTAATCAATTATGAGAAAAGTAAGGCCTTTAAAAGGTATTAAAGTCTTAATCCAGCTTTTTACGAGGCCTTAAAGGGCACCTATGGTGAAAAATCTACTTTTCAAGCTGTAGGTATAGTGTATATACTGTCATATTGGGGTGAAATAAACACACCCAGTCCTTTTTAAAAAAATTTTATAAACATAAAAGTGGTGGACCAATTGGAGCGGTTTTCAGATCGACCGCAACTTGATGTAGGAGTGTGGTCCCCCCGCCCACCAATATTGATTGACAGCTGCGTGCATTAACATGTCTCTGTAGTAACGCATATAATTATACCGACAAGATGAACTAAAAAAGCTTATGCTAGCTGTGCGCTAGCTTAACGTTTTGAGCTTATATCACATATCGCGTCTTTTCCGCGCGCAAGTTTTTTATTTCCAATATTACAATACATGCCAATATGCGTGAGCAAGCACACGCCTTTCAGACGCACCAAATACAAAACATCTCACGCCGTGGCGGTGGGAGTTGTGCGTGGCTTTCAGTACACTGTAAACAAAAGATACATTAGACCAGGGCTGTAAAACGTATGACCCGTGGGCCGGATCAGGCCCGCAAACGAATTAAATGCGGCCCGCGAGATGATTCTGTGAGCTGCAGTTCCAATTGTGTCCACTGGATGGTGCAATAGCAAACTGTTAATTTAATCCAGCCATCTCAGAGAGAAAGACCTCGTCTATACTGTCATACCACACCAGTGCTTCCCACACATAGACTTTACTTAGGCGGGCCGCCCAGGTATATTTGGTGATGACACGTGAATAATACTATTATTATCATCCTCCTACACCAGGGGTGTCCAAACTTTTTGGGCCGAGGGCCAGATGCAAAAAAAAAAAAAGCGTTGTCCCGGGCCAAATTTTACATACATCACACAGACACGCATATATATATATATATAATGATATTTCCACACATTTCTAAATATAATAGTTTTAGTAACTAATTTCTACTAACTGATTTATTTTATCTTTGTCATGATGACAGTAAATAATAATTGATTAGATATTTTTCGAGACACTTCTATACAGCTTAAAGTGACATTTAAAGGCTTAACTAGGTTAATTAGGTTAACTAGTCAAGTTAAGGTAATTAGGCAAGTTATTTTATAACAATGGTTTGTTCTGAAGACTTAAGGGGCTAATAATTTTGACCTTAAAATGGTGCATAAAAAAAAAAACTGCTTTTATTCTAGCCGAAATAAAACAAATAAGTCTTTCTCCAGAAGAAAAAATATTATCAGACATACTGTGAAAATGTCATTGCTCTGTTAAACATCATTTGGGTAATATTTAAAAAAGAAGAAATAAATCAAAGAAGGGCTAATAATTCTGACTTCAACTGTGTGTAGATAGATAGAAAGATAGATAGATAGATAGATAGATAGATAGATAGATAGATCGATCATAACAAGAACTGCTGCTTAATTGAATGCATGTAATAGCGACACCCGGTGGTTATTTATTGAATTACGTTCATTTTTGTATTGCGGGCCAGATTCTATTGATATTGATGTAGGAGTGCGGTTCCCCCGCCCAACAATATTGATTGACAGCTGCGTGCATTAACATGTCTCTATAGTAATGCATATAATTATACCGACAAGATGAACTAAACTGATTGCGGGCCGCAGATGGCCCGCGGGCCGTAGTTTGGACACCCCTGTCTTACACCTTTTTTGTATCCGTCCAGGAAAAGTAAACATTCGCGATCGATTACTCAGTGGAAAATCTTCTCTCGCTCTGCACGTTTCCTACTGCTGATTCTGTGTGTGTGCGATCTGTCACTCACACAGGAGCTCTCACGTGCTCTGCAGACCCACAGAGATGCGCCTTTTCCACCAAAATGCATCCGACCGTAGTTTCTGAATCCCCTTAAATGTCCAGCATTCAGGTTTTACTTTCGCTTTCCAAAGTTGCCGTTATTTGTGTGTGTTTGCAACACCATTTCGCAGCTGACTGCGCGCGCACAGCCGAGAGAGAAACATTAAATGATTATATATTTAATAAAGGACTCAGATAAACTTTATACTCAGAGAGAACAAAATGACATCTATAATTTGATTGGCATTTGTTTCCGTCAAAGTTTTGCACATTTTATCTTATCGGATAAAAAGTTGATGTGATTTCATGTAATACTTCCAGTTTCATGTGATATTGTGAAATTCATTCATTCATTTTCTTGTCGGCTTAGTCCTTTTATTAATCCGGGGTCGCCACAGCGGAATGAACCGCCAACTTATCCAGCAAATTTTTACGCAGCGGATGCGCTTCCAGCCGCAACCCATCTCTGGGAAACATCCACACATACTATCTCACACACTTATACACTATGGACAATTTAGCCTACCCAATTCACCTGTACCGCATGTCTTTGGACTGTGGGGGGAAACCGAAGCACCCGGAGGAAACCCACTCGAAGGCAGGGAGAACATGCAAACTCCACACAGAAACGCCAACTGAGCCGAGGTTCGAACCAGCGACTTTCTTGCTGTGAGGCGACAGCACTACCTACTGCGCCACTGCCTCGCCTATATTGTGAAATTATACATTATTATTAATGAAATAATTATATTATATAGTCATCTGGCTGTGTTCTTCCCTCAGTGGACCTGGACCGTCTGTATGAGGATGTGAAGCAGTACAGCTGTACCCCGCGGAATTACTCGGTGAATTTACGAGAGGAGCTGAAGGCCACCAACGCCGTCTTCTTCCCTCGCTGTCTGCTGGTGCAGCGCTGTGGTGGAAACTGCGGCTGCGGGACCGACAACTGGAACTCCTGCACCTGCAGCTCCGGAAAAACCGTCAGGAAACTGCACGAGGTATCCCACAATGCACTGCTTCAGAAATGACTGTTTTGTATGTGTTTTTGGAAGCAAGCAATCAGTCATTATTTTGATTGATTTATGTGTGTGCATATATATATATATATATATATATATAATTGAATCAGACCCGGAGACTAGTGTAGGTTCACTCCTCTAATAGCAACACCCAATAATTGTAAGTGACGCTTAAAAACATAAGGTATGAATCATAAAACACAGTAAATTCAGTGTCAGTGCAGGAATGTCAAAACTACATCACAGTGTGTTGACATGTAGAGCACGAAAACCTGAAACCACCTTGAGGAAACCTGTCAGCTACTGCCATTTATTTATTTATTCAGCTTAATAACGTCTTACTGTAGACGCACAGTCAGTAACACAGCCTGAGCTGATCACAATGAAGACTCGTGGGATGTTTTGAGGCATTCTGGGAGTTGTAGGCTGACATCAGTGTGACCCGGCAGTGATTGACAGCTGTCACAGAGCTGTCAGTAAACACTGCTGTTGCGTATAATACCAGACTGTTACCCACGGCAACATCTGCTAAATGTGATTGGCTCCAGCTGTCAGCGCTGGCACACACACACACAATATATATACTCAGACACACACACATACATAGACGTATAAGTGATGTATGTGCTTGACCACAGGAGAGGTCAGAGGTCAAGGATGGATATTGATCGGGAAGCAAATCAATGAAGACAAATCGACCAATAAATCTGTTTTATTTCCTGCCCTGCTCAAATAAACCCAAACCCACAAACACCGTCATCTGAACTCAGTTTTTAAAGGGTCACGAAACACCAAAACACATGTTTTGAGCTGTTGACGGTCGTATATGTGTCCCACACTGCTAAAAACACTATTAGGACACCTATATTTCACTAAAAAGTGTAAATTGGTTGTTTTTGTGTTATTTCAAGCAAATTCGTACTTCCGGTTTGAAACGAATTTTTGAAGCTGCGTCACGGTCATGACATAATAGCGTGTATTCCAGCGTGCAGACTGGGCGTCTGTGCCAGAGTGAGTCTTATTACGTCTTACAGTGTGATGCATTAATGCATGAGTAAGGCTTGGTTCAAACCAATCAGCGCACTCTATTGTGCAACTTCATTAATATTCATTACTGTCACAGTGTTTAGACGACAGAGACGCCACGTTGTGTTGGCAAAACAAGCATGAAGTGTTGCTTTTATAGTTTGCTGCCGTTAAGTTTCGTTTTCATTTTCTCTCTGTGAGAGCGCAGCTGGAGTCACGTGTGGATTAACAGTGTACGCAACGCTCGACAACAATAACTTACGTGTCTAAGGTGGATTATTGTTTACCTGAGAGCTGTTCTCATCTGCAAACGCTGAGATCCGGATTCGCTTGTAGTCTTCTCTTAATAAAGACGCGGCTCTAGTTGCTGGTGATTGTTCTGTCTCTACAGATTTAATAATTTCTACAGAACATTTAATAATTTGGCAAATAATTCGACTACAGATGTCCATGTAGGTTAAACACCATCACTTTCTCCTGTGTGTTTGTGTGTGTGTGTGTGTGTGTGTGTGTGTGTGTGTGTTTGTGTATTTTGACTCTGAAACTCGCCCGTACCCAAATAGACACTCCCACAACATCCCACTTTTCTTCCTCCGACACTCCCCCCTAAACAGAGCTGGACACGCCCACTTTTCTGACTTTTTCCAAAGTAGAGGTGTGAAAACACCCTGCTGAAACGAGGGGGTTTCATGGCCCTTTAAAGATTGTAAAATACAAATATTTGTATCAGGGATGCTCAAAGTAATCGATTAACCGTAACTGAAACGGTGCTGTTAGGACTGTGTTTTGTGTTTCTGTGTGTTTGACTTGATTGTAGATTGGGGGCGTGCCTTCAGCGCACCTGATGCTGGTCAGCGCCCTTATTTAAACCCCGGCAGAGAGTTTGTCGGGGCCGCTGTCTATTCACAGTTGGCCAGAGCTGCGCTCCAATTTGGGCATTATCCTTTGTTTCGCAGCCATACACTATTATTGACTACATTTACTGCATCCATACACTTGCATCTCACACTGATTGAACATGCTGATACTGATATTTCGATTATATAATTTATACATTCATTTTCTTGTCGGCTTAGTCCTGTTATTAATCCGGGGTCGCCACAGCGGAATGAACCGCCAACTTATCCAGCAAGTTTTTACGCAGCGGATGCCCTTCCAGCCACAACCCATCTCTGGGAAACATCCACACACACATTCACACACACACACACTCATACACTACGGACAATTTAGCCTACCCAATTCACCTGTACCGCATGTCTTTGGACTGTGGGGGAAACCGGAGCACCCGGAGGAAACCCACGCGAAGACAGGGAGAACATGCAAACTCCACACAGAAACGCCAACTGAGCCGAGGCTCAAACCAGCGACCTTCTTGCTGTGAGGCGACAGCACTACCTACTGCCCCACTGCCTCGCCCCTTAAATTAATAATTTATTTCATTCTCTTTATTTCGTTTATTCTGTTCTTCTGTGCTGTTGGAAACACTGCAGGTACGTGAAGATGCTCTGTTGTTATGTTCTGTTATTAATATGCTAGCATGTTGAAATAAATCAGTATTTTAAAATGCAATATTTAATGTGTCAGACACAAAATAGACACGTCAATATATATATATATATATATATATATAAAAAAAGAATGGTAATCTGACCAATTAACCGTTAATAACCGATTAACAAGCGGCGGTTGTTGGTTAGCAAAATTAACCAAAATGAGCATCTCTAATTTGTTTGCAATTTCTGTAGACATGACTGTAGTGTAATGGTGGTTTAGGTGATGCCTAATATTTATCAGTACAGGTCATAATTCTCTGTCATTCTATACAGTGGTCTTTCGCCATACCTGTCAACACTGGGATGTAAAAATAAGGGATACCCCCCCCCCCCCCCAAAAAAAATAAAAATAAATAAATAAACACCCCAAAACACACACATGCACAAAAATCCTTAAATTACTAAATATGTTTATCTTGAGCTGTTTCTTTGTAATAAAGAGTTGAAACAGTCAGTTGTACGTCTTTAATGTTATTTACTAAGGATAAAATAAATAGGGCGAGGCAGTGGGGCAGTAGGTAGTGCTGTCGCCTCACAGCGAGAAAGGTCGCTGGTTTGAGCCTCGGGCTGGGTCAGTTGGCGTTTCTGTGTGGAGTTTGCATGTTCTCCTTGCGTTCGCGTGGGTTTCCTCCGGGTGTTTCGGTTTCCCCCACAGTCGAAAGACATGTGGTACAGGCGAATTGGTTGGGTAGGCTAAATTGTCCGTAGTGTATCATGAGTGTGTATGAGTGTGAATGTGTGTGTGGATGTTTCCCAGAGATGGGATGCAGCTGGATGGGCATCCGCTGCGTAATAACGTGCTGGATAAGTTGGCGGTTCATTCCGCTGTGGCGACCCCGGATTAATAACAGGACTAAGCCGACAAGAAAATGAATGTATAAATTATATAATCGAAATATCAGTATCAGCATGTTCAATCAGTGTGAGATGCAAGTGTATGGATGCAGTAAATGTAGTCAATAATAGTGTATGGCTGCTGAAACAAAAGCAGATTGAATTTTTTTTAAAACCAATTTAAGCTATATATTTTCGATAGTTATACAATAACTTGCCTAATTACCCTAACCTGCATAGTTAACGTTATTAACCTAGTTAAGCCTTTAAATGTCACTTTAAGCTGTATAGAAGTGTCTTGAAGAATATCAAGTCTAATATTATTTACTGTCATCATGGCAAAGATAAAATAAATCAGTAATTAGAAATTAGTTATTAAAACTATTATGTTTAGAAATGTGCTGAAAAAAAAAAACATCTCTCCGTTAAACAGAAAGTGGGGGGAAAGAAACAGGGAGGCTCATAATTCAGGACGGCTAATAATTCTGTCTTCAACTGTATATATTAATTTTGGATTTTTAATATTTAATTTTTGCAAGATCAGATGAAGTAGATAGTGTGCGGGACATTTTTCTAGTTTAGATTAGGTTTTGAAATCTATTTAAATCTATAGATTATTGTCTCTAATGTATTTGTGTGTGTGTGTGTTTGTGTGTATGTGTGTGTGTGTGTTGTCAGGTGCTGAAGTTTTCTCCTGGTGCCAGTTTCTACAGGAAGAAAAGCAGAGCGCGGTGGACTCTGGAGGAGATTTACCTGCAGCATCACGAGAGATGTGACTGTGTGTGTCAATCCAGACCACCACGATAAACACACACACACTAGAGTCCAAACCACCACAGTGAATACATACATACATACATACACACACACACACAGAGTCCAGATCACCACAATGAATAAATATAAACACACACAACACACACATAGTCCACATAATCAAGATAAACTCACACATACACACACACACACACACACACACACACTAGAGTCCAAACCACCACAATGAATACACATACACATACACACACACACACACACACACACACACACACACACACACACACACACACACACACACACACACACACACACACACACACACACACACA